TAGATGTGTAGAATTTAAACCACGAGGCTATTGCAATTCTTAAGCTCAACATATATATATATATGTCCGGTAGTTTATCTTGTATAAGCCGCATATATGAAGAAGATGACTATGATATTTGATGTTGCAAATAATACTGCTGATGTTTTGCAAATACCGTAGATTGAACCTGGTTACTTACAGAATAAAATTTTTTAGAAAGAATATTAAAACTTACTCTGTAGAATCTTTTGAATGAAGCAAGTTAATATCCAGTTCACAAAGTTCTTCATATAATAAAAAAAAAAAAGAAAAATAACCTAGTAAATAAAACGTACAGTATATTCACAACACAAATTACTGGAAAATAACTATTACGCAGTATAATATTCTCGTACGCATAAGCAAATAAAAAAAAAAAAAACTTAGAATAGATAAACTAACACAGATAGAACGACTTCCTTTTTAAACTTCAGGCTCAATTCACACAATCTATTCCTTGCTCTCTCCTTCAAGATAAAACATTTCAATGAGAAGCAAGCTATGCATACATATACATATCTTGACTTATAATTTAACGCGCAATATAATGTTTTATAAAAAATTTATACTAAAAGTGCTGTACGTTTTTGTAAATTACTAGTTTTTTATTTCATGTTTTTACTTTATTTTTCTTCTTTAAATATCTTTATATATATAATATATATAATATATATTTATATTTTTTTAAAATATAAATATTTTTATATTATATTTACATTTTTTAAAATATAAATATATATCTATATTTTTTATATCATTTTTTTAAATCTTAATTTATGATTGTAATTGTATTTGATATTTATATTTCATATTAATTTTAACAACATACGATATATGTGTTAAAGGTATCGGCAAAGGACAGTGAAATTTCGGATAAACCTGATGAAGATGCCTTTACTAACAATGAATAAAATGAGGAAATTGGAAATATTACTTCATTGAAAATATAAGTTTTCCTTAACATTAATATAATTTTCTACTTTTTGTTACTACAATTTGTTCGTAATATTATTATCAGTAGATTATAATCATACATATGTAACAATTACAAATTGTATAAATAAATATTTAAGATCAAAATATTTACATATAATGTTTCAATTATTATTATTTTTGTATTTTGTTAAGATGCCCGAAGTAGCATGTTGAATTTCCTCTAAGAAACTTGTTGAATTATGAATAGTAGTACCACCTAAAATAATTTTTATCCCAGGATTTTGTTTATTTAAATTATGGACTGTCAGACTTTCTTCATATGTTGTTCCCCCAATCATAAAAACAATAATATCTTGTGGTCTGTAAAATAATAAATTACATAGTTACTAGTTGTAATAAATACATAATTATTATTATTAAACAGTTGTATATAATTTACTTTTTTGACATCATTGTACTTCCAAGATATGGGAATGTTTGTAAACTTAGTTTTCCTTTTATTAAATCCTCAAGTGTTTCATTTAGTAAAGGCGTATGTTGGGTATAAATGTTATCTACTCCACTTAAACCTTTAAATAACTTTTTAGTTATCTTGGCTACTGCTTCCCGATCAAATAAATTACTTTGCCTTGCGTTAATTCCACTGTACTCCAATATGTTGTATACAAGCTGAAACATTATTTTTAAATTATAGTAAATTCGAAGCTTATATTAAATTGGAATTCTATTCATTTTCGTATACCTTTACATATTTTTCTGAAACGCCTCTGTTTTTTAATAAGTTCAATAAACCATTGATATCATTATTTGCATATTTTTCATAATGAAGCGCATATAGCATGACCAATCTCACTGTATCAATTTCTCGTATTTGTTGATTATTAATAAGCTCTTTTATTTTTTGCAGCTTACATAACAACGAAAAACATTTTATCATTAAATAAAGCTATGGTGATATAAGCATAATTAGCAATTGGTTTCTACTATACCTGCATGGAATGATCACTCTGGCAACTAAGTTCCTGTTCTAATTCTGATATTTGCAATAGATAATGTTTTTCTACAAGAGACGAAAGTTCTCCAACTACTGTTACATGCTTTGATACAGTACCAGATAACTTTTTAAACAATGGATAAGTCTCTACAAAATTCTTCATGTCAGCTATGCTTTCTACTTTTTGATGTTTCTTAGCTTTCTTTTGAAATTCATCCATCAGTTCTTTTATTGTTTGTCCAATTTCGCCAAAGTTAAGATATAAATTCTATTTAAAAATATTTTTGTTTTAAAATTAAAAAATTATATTTATAGAAATGTATAAAATAAAAAAATGTATCAAAAATTAGAAAATTATATTTATATAAATATATAAAAATCAACAAAATGGTAATAAATGTTCTTACATTTGCATAAAATTCATCATGTTCCGCGCTAAGAACGACTTCTTTTAATTCTTTTGAAATGCCTTTTACATGTGATAAATTAACACGATTGTTGTTAATAGTTAATAATTCATGAACCATTGCTTGATAAGTCCACTGATTTAATAAAGGGGTAACAGGATCATCTCTTCTATCAACTATTAATAAAATTGGACTAGAATCCTGTTTAAACTCAAATGAATTCGATTCTTTACTTAGTACTTCGCGTATTTTTTCTGCTAATCTCTTTGCCATTTCAGAGCTGTTTTGATAACGTATGTAGGGGCATCTTTTAATGGACAATAAAACTGAAATTAAGCCTGAAACGGTTCTGTGTAGATGTACTGGATTCCATAGTAAACCTTAGAAAAATAAAAATAATAGAATAAGTAATGTATTTGTTGAATAATAGTTAGTAACGTGAAAGGAATTGAACATATTAAAAAATAGACTCAAAATGCAGAATATTTTTTCACATAAAATTTTGTTCTTGAGTATATTCATGCATTACTTCAATGAAATTGGAGTGTTTACTTTATAATATATTTTCTAGTCATTCTCAATCAATTAATTAATTATAAGAGATTTGTTACCTTGCGAACATGTATTAATTCCAAATGAAAACAAATGAGGGCTAATGGCTAAGTAATCTGCGTAATATTCATGAACTTCTCTTACTACCTCTTGTTCATCACTCTCAGCTAGAAGTTTGATATCAGCCTTTGCGATAATGTTACTGAAATCTAAATAGTAATATAATAATTAATTAAATAATTAATTGATATATTATTGCTAACATTTTGAAATTTCTAAGCGTTTGGAAATTATTGAAATAATACTTACAAATATAATATATACCATATTTAGGGTATCTTAATTCGTTGCAAAGATATTCGATATTTTCTTTGGTTGGTCTTATAAAAACTATACATTTTAAATGTTTTAATCCTTCATTACGAACATTTGCATCAATCCTTTCAAATAAATAAACTTCTTTAAGAAATATTTCTGACTGACTATATAGTAAGCTCACGATACTTGTCTGAAAATGTTTTTTACAAATTATTTTTTAATTTATCTAATGTGCAATGAAAAACATGTAATAAAAAAACGTTATAATATAAAATAGAAGATAATAAATATAATATATTTTTGGGAGAATACAATATATTTAAGAAATTTCTTAATTCTGGGCTGATATTTATAATAAATTGAAGTAGTAAATAATAAACTTCAAACAAAATCTACTTGTATAAAAATTATCATTGTTACTAATGTTACTAAAATATATTACTAATAATAACATAAGATCTGTTTATACATAATATAAAATTATTCCTGCAATAGTTGTTTAAATGTCACTGTTAAATTAAATAAGAAAGAAAGAAAGACAGAGAAAAAAAACAGAGAAAGAATTCAATTTCAATAAAATTAACAGTTTATATTTTCATTGTTCATTTTTCATAAGCATGAATACAATGCATTTTATTATTTCCATAGATAAGATGAATAAATATCTTATAATCATTCATAATTCTAGTGTATTTCAATTATAATTTTTAAATATTATTTATTATAAAATATTTTGTATTTACCGTCTGCTTATCCATCAAAAGAACTTTCATTCCCGGACCACTTTCTTCTGTCATCCGAGTGATATAAAATTTTAAAGCAGTAATTAAATTCATTTTATTTTAAGTTTATTTAACTTTTTGTAACTATCAATTACATCTTGTAAATTTGATAATAATATTATGTTTAATCTGCAAGCATTACAAAATATAGACATTTACAAATGTAAACACTACTATTCACACAACTATATGTATATTAGTATTATCACTAGTCTAGAAATTAATTTGAGAAGACACATGTAGTAAAAATTATGGACCTGAGACTATAACTAAGATTTAGAGGAACTGAAATAAGAAACAGAATAAATACAGTAACTAGACAGTATATGTTGGTCCTAATTTTTCTTATCATAGTTTTCAAAAATATATTTTTATACTATTAAATATTTTATATTTTTGGACAACATATGCAATATTAAAATTCTTATAAAATTACCCAGTCCATTTTTATTAAAATCTCATGCTTTAGTCATAGTTTAATTTTATTTTAGAGTTATCATAATAATGTAACATATTAATTGCGATTAATATAAGAAAATAAATTGTAAATTTAATATTTACATAATTATACTTAGCCATTTCTTAGTATTATTTTGTCTATGGTATAAGAAACGTCAAATTTCAGAGGTTATATTTTATCTTATGACAGATTAAGAGTATCATATAAATTGATATTTCATGTATAATGTATAAGAAAAGATATAAATTATGAATATATTTATACTTATATACTTTTTAGTTGTTCCTTAGAATTATTTTGTCTATGTTCCAAGAAACGTCAATTACAGGTTTCAATATTTAGGTTATGTGTAATATTATTAAATAATATTACTATTTGAAATAAATAAGAAATTTATGCAGTTTAAAAGTATATTATATTATATATTATATATAAAAGAAAAATAAAGAAAAAGTTTAAAAATTTATATATATATACATATATATTGGATTGAATCAACCAATGACATGTTTTCTGTTTATATATACATATACATAATATTACACAGCATAAACGAGTGTTAGATGTCTTCAAGAGAATGTTTCTATCATTTATATGATAAACAATTATTATTATTACTATTATCATTTAATCGACGAAAAGAAATTAGTAATGTGTTTTTCAACTTTTCGCGCTCTCTTCATTCAAAATAATAAAAAACATTCTTTGTTCCTTTCGAAACACATTCAAATATTTTATTGATTATTACATTGGGAAAAATGAGAAAAATCAAAGGATTTTGGACATTTGAGAACAAACACACATAGACAGATAAATTTTATGAATTAAGCATTATTTATTTTATAAAACATCATATTTTCTAATGAAATTATAGGTATGTCGACTGTAGTGCAATATATTCTTATTTCATCATTTTTTTTCTTCCTAGTAAAATAGCAACAATAAAAGATATTATTGTAGAAAAGGTCAAACATGGATAAGTAAATATATAGAGACAAAAAAGAAAAAAACAAACAATTAAAAGTACGATTTTGAAATCGATCCTTTTATGATTGAGTTTATTGACAAGGAGTGTAAAATAAGAACGTATTATAAAACTCAAAGAAAATGTAAATTTTTTAGATAAACAAGAATTTTTTTTTTGTTTCTTTTTTTATAAAGCGAATACACATCTAATGAAAAATTGATACGCGTATTAAACCTTTAGTAAAAATGTATGAATTCGGAGTTAAAATAAGTAAAAATAAAAACAATATAGCTGACTGTAATTTACATCGCACAAAATATTTTAACAAGATATGTATCTATGTTTATAGATCGTGAAAATTTTATCAGCAAAGTTATCTATCAACCGCATGGTTATTTAGCAAAACTACGACACAATTCGACTGATAAGCATGTGGTTTTTTGTTTTTTCCGTTTTTATCTTTGTTTAAATTTCTCTATGCATCTTTTTCGAAGCATATAAAACAGGAGAGGAGTAAATGAAAGCTGTAATTTTGTTGCCGTCAGAGTAAAATATTCGTATTAGTAACTACGATATACTGTCTATTTAAATATATAACAAAGCGTAAGTGGTAAACGGTTATCAAACATTTGGTGAAAGCTATTTCGTGTTCACAAAGATAACGTTTTAAATTAAACTAATTTAACAAATGTGTACACAAATTTCTTCGATTATTCGTTTTTTAACGTAAATATGTATAAATATGTTTTTTTCTTTTTCAAAGGAACTCTATATTGTGTATTACTGAAATTGAAATATTCGTTATTATGGAGACTTATAGATAAAGTGCTTCAATTAATCGTAATTTTCTAAACACTTTATTGTCTTTTATTTGCTGCTTTCGATAACACCGATTAATTTTGTCTACATAGGTTACGTACGAACCTGCAAATGGCTGAGATAGTGAGAAGGAAAAAGGTGTGCGTAATAGGAGCCGGCGCAGCCGGACTCTGCGCAGCCAGACACTTTGCGCCAAATTTGAATTTCGAATTGAAAGTTTTCGAGCAAACAAATAATATCGGTGGTACGTGGGTTTATAAAGAAGCAACTGAAGTTGACGAAAATGGTTTGCCCGTTCATTCGAGCATGTACCGCGATTTAAGGTTTAATTTTTGTGCTTTAAGTGATTTCACTTGTTTTATGTTATTTTTGTTTATTGTGCGGTGTTAAAATTTGAAACAAAATATTAGATGTTTCATTGCAGAACTAATTTACCAGCGAAAATTATGAATTTCCCTGACTATCAGAGACTGAATGCTGTAGAACCTTGTTGCGTGTCACACCAGGAAGTTCGATCTTATTTACAGAATTACGCGGATCATTTTGATTTATTTAAATACATTCAGGTAAGTGTGAAAATTCTTAACGATTTGTTATTAAGGGTTTAACGTTATAGTTTGGGACAAGAGTAGAATCCGTTCGATTGCAAGTGTCAGCTGAAGGTGAAGAGGAATGGGCCGTGCGAATAAAAATTATGAAAACAAAGGAAGAGAAAGAAATTATTTTTAATGTTATAATGATTTGTAATGGGTAGGTCGTCCTTACTTAGTATTAAATATCGCAACGATTCATGATAGTTTCGCTGTTATTTAATTTTCTTTTACATTTAATTTCGTTTCAATTGTATTAATTTAGACACTACTTTGATCCTTATATGCCAAAGATACCTGGAATCGAAAAATTTCCAGGTATGATAGTACACAGTCATTCATATCGGAAGCCGGAAGATTTTTCTGGTAAAAGCGTTTTAATTTTGGGAGCAGCTGCTTCTGGAATCGATATCGCTCTCGATTTGGCTAGTCACGCAATTCGAATATATTTAAGCCATAATAATGAAAGGTATTTCCAATAATTTTCAAATATAACTAATTAATTAATTGATCCTCAATTGACAAATTAAAACGTCATGTTTTCAATATATTTAGGTTAAATACTTCTTTACCATCAAATATAATTGAAGTGTTAGGCGTGGAGAAGATAGAGGAAGGAAAAATTTTTTTAAAAGATCAAAGTTCCATTACGGCGGACGTATTTATGTTTTGTACAGGATACTGGTACAGTTTCCCATTTTTAGACGACAACTGTGGAATTCGAGTGGATGATAATTTTATAACTCCTTTATACAAACATTTAATCAATATCGACCATCCTACGATGTGTATTGTTGGAGTGCCTACTGTTGTTCTTCCATTTCCTATGTTTCACATGCAAGTAATACGATTGATATATTAAATATTGTATTAAACGTACATCTATTAAAGACCAAACAGTGAAATAACATGCAAACTTAGAATTCTTCGAAAATCACAAATAAAATATTGGTCCTTAAATGCCATTGATCGTGCGACTAGCGAGTGTGCAAGTATATATAAATTTTTCAGATACAATATTTCCTTGCACTATTAGAGAAAAGAGCAATCCTGCCGACAAAATTAATTATGTTGGAGGACTCGAAGTTGAAAACATCGAAAAAAAGACACGCGCATAAATTAATGGACAAGCAATGGGATTACAATAATTCATTAGCTGATGCTGCAGGTTTCGATCGTTTGCCAAAATTCTACAAACTTGGATACGAAGCGTGGTCAGCGCAGCGAAAGGCGAACCTCTTGAACTATAAGAGGGCCAGATTTATAATATCCGAAGATGAAGAAAGTGTTGAACTGGTCATGCCGAAATAAAGTGTATAAAATTGTTAAGCATAACAGTACAGTTTTATAAATTTTTCGTAGTGTTGTATTTAATAATGATATTGATTTTGTACAAAGTCAATAACAAATGAATTCGCTGGGCCGCTTCAGAATTTCTGATTTCGTTGTTGCTTTCGAAAGCGCGGAACAGATTAATTAAAATTACTGAGCAATTTATAAAGTTGACATAGTTTTATTTTTAATCCAATCTACTAGATCGATAACGTCGGTATAGACACCAGGTGAGTATGGTTGACCGCAATCGTCGCCCCACGAAGTTATACCGATTATGATATTGTCCCTGTTAACCAATGGACTACCAGAATCACCCTATGGGAAACCAATGATACTTAGAGTAAGTTATCGTGACAATTAAAATAAATTTCTGATTATTATAAAATGAATTGTAACCTTGCATGCATCTTTTCCCCCTTGCGAAAATCCATAACAAACTTGATGCTTTGTCACTTCATATCTGCCTTTGTAGTCCTTCCTGCATTGTTCTTTATTCACTTTCGGTACAGTAACGTATTTTAAATCATTTGATAACATCGGCTTGATATCCTAAAAGTTCAATCTGTTGAACACAATACATAATCTCTTAGTGATCCCTTATTTTTCTACTTGTCGTCTCATTTCATTTAAAAGTAAATTATGATCAAACGATTATTGACTTATTGACTTTCAATTTGGTGATTATAGAAGTTTCTGCTCTCAACTTGTTAACCGGATTATCCCTTATTTTAGTCAAAAGCTTCGTCAAAGACTAAAAGTTTATTAATTTTCATAAATTCGTTCAATGATAATCTATGATATAATTCATTTTGAACAAAAGTTAACGTAACAGAAAGTTTGACTAATAATATTATTATATTCAAGTGATTAACAATTCGAAGGACGCACTAGCTTGTTTTTCCTTTACAGCTTAAAGAAATGACTCTAACAGTTAGTAGTATCGAACTATGCTTTCTAAGAACAAAGACTTACGAGAAAATAGCCCCACCCGGCAATTGAAGCCCAACTTGCGTAAACAGATTCATTTCCAGGTAACTTGACAGGCTGTGTCGCATTGTCAAATTTGAACGATGGAGATACCTTCAATAATCCAATATCGTAATCGTTATTAAGCTCATTGTATTTTTCGTGGTAAAGAAGTGTCGTTACATTATGAACAACTCCACCAGCATCGTATTTATTAGATCCACTACGGATGTTTATCGAAACGGAATCATTGACAAATCTATGAACCGAACGTATATCAAATACACGAAAGAAAATCAAGATTCCATTTTGCAAAAAAAAAAATCTTATTACTTACAGAATAATACAGTGAGCAGCAGTTACTGCCCAATCCTCATTGATAATAGCAGCACCGCACATATATTCATTATTTACACTTAACGATAACTATCACAGATAATAATTTCATTATTAGGTACGAAAGTTTTAAAAAAGTTGTCAACGTATATGAAGAGTCCACGGAAAAATTTCAACATTTTTTTTTGCTACACATATGTGATCCTTATCACTGGCTATGTGGTATGTTGCAAATTAAAGTTTGCTGAGTTCCACATTTATTTTGAGATAAATTGAAGAAAACGCAAAGTTGTGACATTATATATTAAAAAATAAATTTTCGTTTT